GCGAATAGCTTTTATTTCATAGCTTATCAGTGCTTCTAGTCCGGATATGGAAAAGACCATTGGAAAGTGGTGTGCGCAGGTTTCATGCGCACATCCTTTCAACGATTAACAGCTTGAAGCATAAATGTCCAACGTGAATTTCGATCTGGTCAACGAATTGTGGCATCATGAGATCTCCTGATACGTTGTGAGCATACAAGCAATGAAACCATAGAGAAATCCCTGCTATTGTGGAGCTTTCGGCTAGATGGTACTTCCCGCAACTCCATTATTTTGAAGGCTCCGTTTTTCTAGATTTTTGCCGATCCTGGTCCAGCTTTTCGCAAGATAGCCGATAACTCCATTGTTCACATTAAGACTTTGTAACTCGGAGTGCTCTGGCTGATCGTAATAAATCAGACCTCTTTGTGATATCATACTAATCAGATTTTGCTGAAAGTGCGAGCCCTTGAGATGAAAGGAAAGAATATATCCACGAGGCAAGAGTCGGTGGTTGTTCGTGCTGACATTAAAAGCGCTGATTTCGGTGCGCTCAGAGAAAAGGCACAAATATCCGGACTGGTGTCTGTAAACATTCCATAACTTTGACCGCACCCTCTTTCGTTGAAAGGATCCTAGGCCTTTTATTCAATAAGCAACTTTCGCTTTATTAATTCTATCTTTTCACAAGTATTTAAACAAATAAGCTGTTCTCTGTAATGAATTCTTGCAGTTTGTTCTACTCGCCAACATGCCCATTCAGCGCACGGGTTGCTCCTTATTTCAATGCTCTTCCTCAGCTATACAATAACACCATCAAGTTTGCAGCCTTCGATGCAACAGAGTTCACCAAGTGAGTTTGTTTTAAATGTGTTCCACACTACTTTTTAGGCGAAAAAAGTTCTCTATATGCTCCTATCTGATTCGCGGTAAATTGATTCGATTTAATACAACAAATTCACAAGGATTTTGTAGTGTTGGAGTCCTAACTGTGCCTCTCCAGCAACTTTGCCAAATTTCTTTCTGCTAGATCTACATTTTAATCGAAGAAGTTCGTTACCAGTTTACCAACAAAAGGTTATCGTGGCAGAACTACAAAATTTTTTTAGTCTTCTGCTAGTCGTGGTATCGTCTCTTTTTTTACCTGTTTTTCATTTTTTTTGTTTTGCACAACATTATAGGAATATTAGAATAATCTTATTGGCTAGACTTGGCTCCTTTTGAAAGATTTCTTCTGTTAAAGTCAGAATAATCCTGGTGTAATAGTCTGGGAATGAAATGTAAATCTTCCGGTTCGTGATCGGTGCAAAGGTGTAATGATTAGCTTTACACCTGGTTCTGAATATTCAGTCGTGCAACAAATGTTTGCTTTACATTCAGCTGCCTTTCTAGCTATTATATCATGTTCATGGTAGTATTTGCATGAGATGGATAACAACGCCTCGATGTAACATATTTTTCATTAATGGTAAAATTCCCAGTGCAGTCTACGGAAACGCTATAAGCCCTCTGATGCGAAGTGCATGCTTGCCTATTCCCCTGAACTAAATGAAGCAGACTGTAACAATTGAACGGTGCTTTGGTGATCTGATAGAAGAGGTTTCAAAATTGGAAACATGCTTCGAGCGTATGAGTTGAAATTGAGCTGTGCTTTTCACACCCTTGCCATTTCGAATTCAAGTAGTCATTGTTATAAGTATCAGATAAACCTTTTCTGAAATCAGTTACTTTTTTTTTGCTGTGGACGAAGCCTTCATATAAATATTTCAACAAGTTTTGATGTGATTGGGTTTGCAAAGTTGGTAAAATTGTTGTTTGCCTATGTTTACATAGCGGAAAACGAGTTCCATGTTCAGTGGTCGCAGTTACAAGTGCAATCATTCTGAATATAAACTTTTCCAGGCTTAACACACGCTATGGTGTTTCTGGTACTCCTACAATCATGTTATGGGTGAGTGGGGCAGCTGTAGCCAGAATGGAAGATCGATCGTTGAATGATAATGGGCTAATGGTTAGTTTTGCTCGTCATACCTGTAATTTATTTTTCTGATTTAGTGATTCTTCTGTATTGTAGTCGTTCATTTACGATTGGACGGATGTGACACCGATATTTGG